CGGTTCGTTGTCATTTTAATGTTTATTCAGCAGTATCTTGGGCGTCTGGAATTATTTTTGTTTGCATGACTACGTTTCAGCCCAGTATACTTTGTTAAAATAGTTAATTTAAATACAGCTCAGTCACTATTATATTCTTTAGTGTTAGTATGGTATTAATAGGTTAGCATTTTATACTTTCTTATTAAAAGTGCTTAATTAACACGCATATGAATCTACAAATATGGTTTATATAGGATCCAATACCAGTTGCATGATGTCACAAACATTTTGATAAACTTAATATATCTTTTATTTACAAACTGTAGCAAAATGGTATAACGTGATTTTAATTAAACAATTTAATTTAATTTTTTATAAAAATTTAAAGTAATCAAAGTGTTTCTGTATGATGAAAAAGTAGAAAATTAAAATATTCATTAAATATTTTAACATTTTTTTTGCAGTCGTTTGAGACAGTTTCAAACGGATTAATGATTCTGCTGATGTGTTTGGCAATCCATTTGGATTATCAGAAAAAATTACGTGAAGAAATCAATGAAACTTATCCTGATGGAAATATTGCAGATATTACAATAACGCAATTGCAGCAATTGAAATATCTGGATATGGTTGTGCATGAATCATTGCGGCTTTTGACAACGGTTCCCATGAATATGCGGAATGTAAGTTCTGACTTTAAGATGCATTTGCCTGCTAAAGACGACAGGGGTGCAATAACAGCGCTGGTACCAAAGAACACATTGGTTGTATTAGATGTTTTCAATATGCAACGTGACGAAGCCCATTGGGGACCAAATGCAAAAAAATTTGATCCTGAACACTTTGCCGAATCAAAGTCGGAACGGCATCCTTACGCTTTTATACCTTTCTCCAAAGGTACACGTAGTTGTATTGGTAAGTACTTAAAGTCTCAAATGAACAAAAAAAAAAAACAATATCCTAAATAATTTAATTTTTTCTCTTCTTTTTATTCAATTGTGGTTCAGGTTGGCGTTACAGTTTATTACTGACGAAGATTTTTCTTGTGAAATTAATTTCTTCTTTCGAATTCCAATGTCCAGGAACAAAACTTGAAGATTTACATTTTACTGAGGGCATTTCATTGAAATTTCATGACAGTCAGAAAATTAACTTTCAAATAAGAAAAATACCTTGAATATTATTTTATTTAATAATCTTAGATGTTTTAGATAGTGTGAGATTTAATTAAATTAATTGAAATTGATATAATTTGTAATGATACAAGTCATCCATCATTATGTTATAATTATTCTAAAATCATTATTTTTACTTATAGTTTTTGGTATATAATTACTATATTTACCACAATGAGTACATTTTTAATTATTTTTAAATATGTTTAAACTCAAAAATATTTTGTATTATTTATTGCATACTTATTTGGAAGATTAAGTTACGGTGTTTTATTATTAATTTAATTATACAGTTCTATTATAGGATTTATGTTCACACAAATATTAAATTTTGATTTAAATATAAAAATATTCAATAAAAATATTTATACAAAATATTAAAAAAATATTATGTGATTGCCAAAAGTTTATGTAGTGCTATATAAAAAATATCTATATCTATCTGTTGGGGGTATAGAAAACATACGGGTATATTAAAAAGGTTAAAATTGATACTCTATAAAACAAGATGTGAGTATTATATTATATATTCTATGTTATTATATAAAGTTATCTAGCATATATATGTATTTTATTTATAATTTATTTTCAATGTATCCAATTTCAGTAAAATAATGTCTTTTACCATTGTAACTTATTTCTAAAATGTGTTCTTGGTTATTTAATACTAACTTAGACAACCTCCAGATGGATTAAATTTTTATGTACATTTGTTAAAGGCATCTTATAGGAGTTAAGTTAGGTTAGATTAATAAAGGTTGGTCACATATAGATTTCTCAGTTCCTAGCCAAACTGCTTAATTTTTTTGAGTCATCTTAGTTTTGGGTTAGTTGTGTCAGAAATTTCTCGGACTTGTAATTTTATGTTTGGTGATGGAAATTAGCTGGCAAGATCAAGCTATTTGTCATCACTGCTTGTTTTTGGGGTTCCGTAAAACACAATTTTGTTTAAGTTTAAGTATAAGTATAAGTCGTCGAAAATTGCTTCGAAAGGATCAAGTACTGTAAGATATCCCCACAGAACTTTTTATTAGTCTAACCAAAGGATCGAGTTTATGAAGACAATCTTCAATTTACTCTACACTAACACTGTAAAAATAAGTTTTCTTAACGTTATAGTTGAGCATTTGAAGTTTGAAGAAAATTGCTTTGAAATGATCAAATACTGTAACATATTTCCTCAAGACTTATTTGAGGTGTTAAGCAAAGTATCATGTAAATACAGACAATCTTCAAATACTCTGCGTTGTGAATTTAAAAATAAATTTTTAA